GTTGTATTTGATTTCTATCGGAACTGTTCAGAGAAAAATATATCGCGTACCTAATCGATCAACTGACCATTTCTCTTTTTCTTATCATTATGCGAAAAGAAAACGATTTTCAAAGTCTTTTCAATTTATTAAGGGGACCCCCCCCCCTCAGAAATCGATCTCGTGAACAGTGCAGCGGACGTTGATGAAAATTTCAGGACATAGAAAACTTAATATGAGCAGAACTGATAAAATTTTCACCCAATCATTTATCGAAACTAAAAAGCTATCCGCGAAATACTCCCCAAAACAGGGTTCTCAGCACGGAACATTTTTGGAACCTACGGTAGCACGAAAAATGACGGGGTTTGTTTCCGAACAAAGAAGAAACATATGTCTAGAAATTGTAGGAACGGATTTTTGAATTTCGCTTTGGTTCACCGACAATGCTTATTTTCGTTTGAAAATCGCGAAAACGACTACTAGCGCTTTCAGCAAGTTTCATTTATCTCAAGAACGATCACATAATTTAAAAATCTGTTCCTACAATTTCTAAAAAAATTTTTCCTCTTTCCAATTAAAAAAAACATAAACTGTACCTTCAGAGGTTGATCAGAAAAATGTTCCGCAATCGGCAAAAAGTAAGAGAAACTTGAAGCTGAGAAAACCAATAACAAAATTCCAAGGTAAATTACGGTTTTTCTCCTATAAGTATTGGTAGTGTATCATACATCATTGACAAGCCCTTCAAAAATGCTAACAATTCACGGTATTTTCGCCAAAAAAAAAAAGCTAATTTCGACAAATAGAAGGCTGATTTCGATAAGCACAAGTATTACGAATTAATTCCTGCGACATCTTTTCGAGAATTCGCGCTATTTTCAAGCTTTTTTACAGTCATCCCAGCAACTTCTGGACAAAGTTAGTAGTGACTACAAAGCTTCACAATATTATAAACGGATTCGGCAATAAATTAGATCACGATAACTCAAGAAAAATCAACGGAAATGACCTATTTTTACTAGCGATTCCAGAAAACGCCCCCAAAACGGGCAAAATAAGCACCATACGTACCTAGGGCTAGATCCGTCAAAAATCTGTCGGTTTTATTTCATCTACACTTTCTTTTCGACTTATACTCGAAACGCCTCCCGAATTCATTGAAAACATGAGTAAATCCACTCTTTCCACTATAAGCGCTAAGGACAGAATTCTTCTTTTGATTGCAGTCCGTGCAGCATGGCCTGATCTGTCTAGAATCTGTCGATTTTGTTCGATCTCCACTTTCTTTTCGACTCACGATCGAAACACATGGCGAATTCATCGAAAATATGAGGAAACCAGTGTTTACACTACGGCCACTACTGATATATGTTTTCTTTTGATTGCAGTCCGTGCAGCATGGCCTGATCTGTCTAGAATCTGTCGTTTTTATGGTATCTCCACTTTGTTTTCGACTTATGATCGAAACACATCGCGAATTCATCGAAAATATGAGCAAATCCAGTGTTTACGGTACAGCTACTAGCGACAGAACTTTTCTTTTGATTGCAGTCCATGCAGCACGGTCATATCTGTCTAGAATCTGTTGTTTTTATTGTACCTCCACTTTGTTTTCGACTTATGCTGGAAACACAACGCGAATTCATCGAAAATATGAGCAAATCCACTGTTTACAGTACAGCCACTAGCGGCAGAACTCTTCTTTTGATTGCAGTCCATGCGGCATGGCTATATCTGTCTAGAATCTGTCGTTTTTATGGTATCTCCACTTTGTTTTCGACTTATGATCGAAACACATCGCGAATTCATGGAAAGGATGACTAAATCCACTTTTTTCACTGTACACACTTGCGAGCGGCTTTTTCTTTTGATCACAGTCCGTGGAGCTTGGCTAGATCAGTCTAGAATCTGTCGGTTTATATCATCTACACTATCTCTTCGACTTATACTCGAAACGCCTCCCGAATTCATTGAAAAGATGAAGAAATCCACTGTTTACAGAGCAGCCGCTGGCAATAGAATTTTTCTTTTCATTGTAGCCCATGCAGCATGGCTAGATCTGTCTACGATCTGTGGGTTTTATTTTCTCTCCGCTTTCTTTCCGACTTATGCTCGAAACACCTCCCGATTAGATTGAATATATGAGGAAATCCACTGTTTGTAGAACAGCCACTAGCGATAGAGTTTTTCTTTTGATTGCGGCCCATGCAGTAGGGCTAGATCAGTTGGCAGGTTCGCATTTGCCGAGAATTATGGTGCTTAGAATCGGTCCCAGAAAAAATCGATGAATACGGATGGTTCCAAAATTACGCAGTCTTTGGTCACCTTTTAGGGACTTCGCACGAATGCATTGATTACGAAGGCGACTTATTCCTTACATCAGTAAATACAATCAAGGACATTCGTCGGTACTACGACCGAGCTCCTAACTAATACTCTCCACAAAACTAGTAACACATACTACAACTACATCTCGTGACCAGACCGGATAGAATCCAACTCACACACTATCACTCTCTAGTTAACAACTTCCATCAGCACAACCTACCAATCAGCGGTTGTGATCACCAGGGCCGACAGAGAAAACTCATTCATTGGAAACTGGTGGTGACCAGACCAATCACGGCGTATTCACCCTTTCTATACTTCTGGTGATGAGACTCGTGGTGACCAGACTTGTGGTAACCAGACGAGTCCCATTATACTTGTCCATCGGGAACTGGGGATAATCGCTAGCCACACTACATTTCTCGTTAGAAGACTTCTGAGGACCGCAGCGGTGGCAGCATAGTCATCGTGTGAATCGTTGTGATAAGGACACTGCTCTCAGTGTAGTGATCTGTCGGACGTGTTTGGTGGGCCGGTGGGGAGATGAGTTATGTGGACTTTGTTTGATTTCGTGGATAGGTTAGCCGAATAATATGTGGGATATGGGTGACATGTGGAATATATGTAGTAGGAAGATGGTATGCTTTCGAAATTAGATAGTGTAGAGAGTTATGCTTCGCTGAATATGAGACGAAATATATCGGAAGATATTTGTTGATGTGAAATAGAATTATGTTGTGCTCTGTATAATTGGTTTTTGATGGTTTCAGCGGGCTGAATATAGTGACGGCGTAATTGCGTGCGAAGGGGAAAGGCGTGGAAATTCGAGGTATGTGTGAATCCCGTAGTATACCCTGGATGAAAATAAAGGCGCCGTCTGAAATGGTCGACCTGAAGAAACGTCTCGGAGAAAGAAAGAACCGGTTAGCGATGAAGAATTTCATGGACATCTGCGGCGAAAAATCGTTTTAGTCCGTCATGACGATAGAAGAAATTGATTCGAATGGTTTGATCACCAGAGGGTGATGATATTCGTTTAGTCGAGTTCAGCGATAAGTGCTTAGTAGACCAGAG